GAAACGCTAAATAGAAACTGTTTGAATTCCGAGAATTAATTCTATTTATCGCAAATGGCAACTGGCCAAGAATATCAGGACCATCAATTTCACCCTTCAGCAACCTAAACATTGTGCAAAGAATTATTTTAAATCTCCTTTTCTCCAATGACACTCTTCCAAAGACACCCAACAAATATTCATTACTACAACCTCTTTGTGGGTAGAATCCATATTTTCTAAAATAAAGAGACTTTAGAAATTTCCTTTGCACCCCCTCAATAATCGTAATCCACACATCATATTGAGGGGACCAAATTACAGAACCATTTTCCAATATAGGCAAAACTAAGCTGTCAAAAAGATGTAAACTTATGTCTATGCCAAAGTCTCTAGTGTTTCTTGTAATAAATCCTGCTACCCTCTGAGCACTTTCAATTTTTGCAAGAATGTGATCAGTGAAAGTGAGATTCACGTCAAAGATCAGACCTAAATCTTTTTGTTTGTCAACTCTTTCAATTTTAGTATTATTGTAAGTGTAATCATACTGATAAGAGTTTTTATTAAGGGTAAATGACATACACTTACATTTACTCACATTTAGATTAAAGCTATTCGCAGTACCCCAATTAGATACATTACAAAAGTTATTTTGAAGAGTTTCACAATCCTCGATGGAATTTATTAAGTGAAAACATTTGAAATCGTCCGCAAACAGTAAGCCCTTGACGTCTTCAAGATTGCCCATGATACCATTTATAGCTGCTAAAAACAGAAGAGGGCCAAGATTAGAGCCCTGGGGTATCCCTGATGTGCTCTTGTACACAACAGATTTAGATCCTTTGATTTCTATATATTGAAATCTATGGCTAAGATAGGATTGTAATAAATAAAATAGATAAGATGATACATTCATATCGTTTAGGGCTTTTAAAATTACGCAGTGCCTCACCTTATCAAACGCCTTCTCCATATTTGTGAATATTACGTCAACTTGTGACTTGTCATTTATTGCATCATGAATATATTGACAAAATGTGATTAAGTTGGTGTAAGTTGACTTTTTAGGAAAAAAACCATGTTGGCATGATGTTATTTTGCCCGAAATTTCACTATACAATCGATCAAAAATATTTATCTCGAAAACTTTAGAGATTGCACATACAATTGAGATAGGACGATAATTTTTTATGTCTTTCCTGGCACCAGCCTTGTAGACAGGTATAACTTTGCTTGTTTTCCATTTATCAGGGTACACAGACGTTTTCAAAATGAAATTAAATAGAAATTCAAGAGGCAACGCCAAATATTCACTGCAGCCCTTTATGATATAAGCAGGTACTCCATCAGGACCTATTGCTTTGTTACCCTTAATCTTTATGATAGCCTTTTGAATTTCAGTCATGCTAATCAAATTGTCGCAGAAGTGCGACTTTACAGGAAATTTACTGCAAGTTACGTCAGTATCATCAATAAAAACTGATTTAAAAAAATCCGCGAAGCCGTTAGCAATGTTTTGAGGTCCAGTGTACGTTTTGCCATCAGAAATCATTTCCTGAAGAACATCTGGATGATCCTTAAGGCCTTTTACATATGACCAAAAGAATTTAGGGTTTGATTTTAAACTAATTTTTACGTCATGCAGATATTTAGAGTAGGCTAATTTCATTTTGTCTTTAATTCTGTTCCGTAGGCCCACAAATTTGGACATCCAGTAGTTTGATCTGTATTTTTTTGATTTCAGAAAGTACTTCTGCTTTTTTTAATGAGTATAATAATATGTCTATCAAACCATACAGGATATTTCTTATCAATTTGGGTGGACTTAGGAACACATCTTTCAAAAATGTCCCCCAGAATAGTGTAGAAGGCGTTTATGGATGTATTTACATCTGTACCGTTTTTCAAGATATCCCAATTTTGATTTTTAAAAAGGTGGTACATTAACAGAAAATTGGCTTTTTTAAAGTTAAATTTGGTGGTAGATACAACCTTACAGGCATTGATAGGGCATTTAGTTTTTAGACAGACACTAAGGCAGGGATGTTGATTGTCTATAGGTATTAGACAGTCATCTGTCCTATCTACACATATGTTATCAAATGAAGTTATAGCTAGGTCAAGTATAACATTATTATTATTTCTAATTTGGTTCATCTGGGACAAGTTATTAAATGCTAAAAATGATTTAAGAATATTTAAGTTGGCACAAGAAGATATAGGATTAATATAAGTAGGGATATTAAAATCACCTATTATCATCAGTTCAGATTTTGAATTATTAATTAGATTAGATTCTATTTTTTCAAAAAAGTTCTCATATATAAAACTTGGACTGTCTGGAACAATATACACCAAGACTATATATAAGAAAGTATTATTGTTAAGTTTAATTTGGATACATAAAGCTTCTTGATCGTCATTAAAAATTTGCATTTCTGTAATAAGGTAGCAATCCTTGACAGCAAGCAAAACTCCTCCTCCTTGCCTTTTGCCAGTAATTAATCTATTTCTGTCTTTTCTAAAACAGACTCTGTCTCCAAAGACAAACTCTGCAGTATTCACTGATTCATTGAGCCAAGTTTCTGATAGAGCAATTATATCATAATCATTATTTAAAATACCAAATCTAAGTGTATCCAACTTCGTTTTGACACCCCTACAGTTCTGGTAAAAAATTGAAATATTTTGATTTTTTATGTTACTAGTATTCCCGCCATTGGTAAGCGAAAATTTCCATCTGGCGTATCAGAGGCTGATAGATCAGCCAACAAAAAATTATTATATGTGCTTTGAACATCACTGCCACCCTGAAAAGGATCCATATCAGGTGTATTTGAAAGACTGTCATTTCTGCTGACATGAATCAGGCTACTACAAGAATTATTGTTACTCAAACAGAATCCTTCGATAGCATTCCCAATATTCCTTGCCATTACACTTAGCCCTATTTTATTAAGATAAGGTGAATTCTTTACAAAACAATTAGTGGTTACGTTTGTGTTTGAAGTTAACATTTTAATATTATTGTTAAAACTTGACAAATACGTCATTATATTATAAAATTCCCTGTTGACCAAAGAATAGTTTTTGTAAGAACAGAAACTATTAATTGGAGTTGTACACACAATTAGATTTGAGAAAAAACATTTGTTTGATAGAACTGTGAGATATTTTTTAGACAATCTTTTTATTTCAGGCCCTACCAAAACTACTATGTAATCCCTGTTTGTAAAACCTTCAATATAGCTATCAAGGTCTTTCACCAAAACATCAAAAGGTGCCCCAGGCTTGCAAACCGTTTGGACAGAATAGTCTGTACCTATGTTTCTTCGGAGATAGTCATACATGAATTTGCCATAGCCATCCGTCAAAAGCAGAACGTGGTTGGTGTCTGTAATCTCTCTGTTCGATGTAGATTCAATACCATTTATAGCACCATTGTTGATTCGAGACTTTTTTCTTTCCACCAGTCGAGATTTATTATTACTATTTATTTCACTGTTATTATTATCGTTCGTTGATTTCTCCATTTCTTCAAAAAGTGATGTAACATTTTTAGATATATTGGCCTGTCTCAGTTCTTCTGCGTAAATTTTATTATCAGCTTGAAGCATTTCTAAGGCAGATATCATATTGTCTTTTACATTTTTCAGCTCTAGCAGATCAGTATTAAGTTTTTTTATAGTTATATTATTTGCTTGTGCTTACTCAATAAGATCCGCATTAATATTTTGCAGCTTCTGGATTTTATTTAATAAATCCGAGTTTGTAACAGACAGATGGGTTTGTGCAGCCATGTCTTTTTCCATTAACTCCTTGTTATTGCTATCAATAACTTTTTGCTGTTCTTTAAGCTTCTTCTCCAGTGCCTGAATTTTACTGTCCTTCGCCTCAATTTCTTTTATAAAATCGTCCTCATAGCGTGAAGCGTCTTCAACCACAGACCTCGAATTACGTTTGAGTCTTTCAATATAGGCATCTCTTTCAGTATTTCCTACCTTCAGCTCTTCAATGATGGCATTTAGTATGTCAAACGTTCCCGGGTCCTGGTCCGCCGCCTCCTGTCTACAGTTTTTAGAGCATATGATAAAGCTATCTTTTATAGTAGTAAACTGCTTATTTGATCTATTCAAACAGCTTCTATGGAGTGCATTTTTACAGACTACGCAAAAAAATATTGATGATTCCTTGTTTTTACAACACTTAAATGTCGACATTATTATTTTATCTTTTTTACAACAAAAAGTTTATTGTTATAAATTTGTATCAGTTTATCCGTTTTTGCTCGTCAGGTTCAAGATAAGAAATTTAAATTTTAAATTAATGTTTTTAACAATACATTCCACTTGGAAGATATAAAAACTAGATATTTTGCAGGCCACAATGAGACTGCTTTCAGAATACTGGAAAACTTGCTTGATTTGTATTTACCCTATGCTTGTATACTCTATTGATTGTTGATTTGCCACTGGAGAGTTTCCACCATGTTTAAAGCATAGGTGGTGAGCTTGGTGGTGAGTCCACTGTCTAAGGGGCACAACTCCCATGATTTCTCTAGTTGCCTAGACCTATTTCTCTTTTACCAACACTCTCAAAAGTAATTGAAAAAAAACACCCTGCAGCCTGCATATTACATTGAAGCAAAATACATGTAGGAAGTACGAGAGGAAGTATTATCATTTTAGCTTGAGTATCATTATTTGATGAACAATTTCAAACACTGAGGAATATATTTAACTAGCAATTTTGCAATGGGATCACAATTTAAGCGAGTGTTATAATTACTCAAAATTATTTGCTATTGCAAAAAATGTACATTTTTGATTATTTGAAAATTTGAACTCTATAGCTGCAAGGCCTAATAGACTATCAGGAAAGAACTGGAGTGGGTGCCAGCAAATTATTGTATTACATATTATGTTGAATGTTGCTGAATATAAAAATTCAACAATTTTATAGAAAATACAAAAAAGCTCATAGCAAAAATGATTTGATAAGTTGAGAAAAAAAATTATCACCTTGGCCAGTCTTTCGACAGGCAACATTTGGTCTAAAGGCTTCTCTTGGAGATCGTTTGCAGAACCATTCCTGGGGATACTTTTCCTGGAAGCGTTGTCAGCCGACCCGAAAGAAGTCGGGGTGTTATCCGCCGATTTGTGATGTCCATGATGATTTCCCATTATTCCAGAGGAACTTCTATCACATGTGAACTTTATTTACACAACGCCAACCTAAGAGGAAAAAGGGAACATGAATGATAGTGAGAGTGGTGAGGAGGACGGTGAGGTGAGGTGAGGGTGAGGGACCACCACAGCGCAAGGATGACCACAGCCACAGAACTACAGTGACACAGAACCACAGCGCACCGAACAGTTCCGATTTTCCGATTATGAGATAAATCCTTCTTTAACCAAACCCATAAAAGGATCACGCCATCATCAAGCAAAATACGAATTTATGACGTCACGGAATATAACTGTCATTGATCAGCAGGCAGAGACATATTGTAATGGTTGCATAATTTTGAAGAATAATGAAATTTTTCCGCACGTGAAAAAGTTTTTGTAGCACAAAAATGTCAAAATTGGAAAAACTGGTTTTTATCGTAGTTTCAGTTCATCAAGAGTTCATCATCAGTGATCCGAGCCGCATTCATTTTCATACAGTGACTCCGACCGACTCCCAGTCGGACTGTGGGTCGCACTTTTTAAACAGAGCGTAACGGTCAGCTCCAACTCAGAACTGGCACGGACCGGGCGTGCTTTCAAAGACGGCAATGCTAATGCCAAAACCTACTTTTCCCCCTCCACCGGTAATGCCGAACCACGTAGGTTGGATCACGCAAAATGCCAATTTTGGCTTGGCTGTAGCCATTCCTGAACGCAGCCCGGGGAAATCCGACTGTCTAAGGGCGGGTATTATAAAACTACTTTGAGAGTTAACTTAAAGTTAACTTCTTGAATTACATGTAATTCAAAAAGTTAACTTCAAGTTAACTGTCAAAGCAGTTTAGGGCGGGTATTATAAAACTGCTTTGACAGTTAACTTGAAGTTAACTTTTTGAATTAGGGCGGGTATTATATAAAACTACTTTGAGAGTTAACTTAAAGTTAACTTCTGAAATTACATGTAATTCAAAAAGTTAACTTCAAGTTAACTGTCAAAGCAGTTTTATAATACCCGCCCTAAGGACGGGTATTATAAAACTACTTCGAGAGTTAACTTGAAGTTAACTTCTGGAATTACATGTAATTCAAAAAGTTAACTTCAAGTTAACTGTCAAAGCAGTGTTATAATACCCGCCCTAAGCCTAGTACTCATAACTGCGAAATTCGCATTTTTTTGACATTGCTTCGACAATTTGACGTTTGATACACACATAAAACGTCAAATTGTCAACGCAATGTCAAAAAAATGCTAATCTCGCAGGGGCGAGTTCAGGAATGACGCACCCAGTGTGAGTGTGACACCGGTGCGACGCCCTAGCTGTTCAAAAATGCTAGACGGTGCTATGGGTCCAATGGCCAATTGTCAAGTCAGGCACACCCATAAAATCGCACTCACACCCGGTGTATTATTTCTGAACTCGCCCCAGTTATGAGTATATACTAGGCTCCATAGAGAAATATAATAAACCAAGGTAAGAGTACCTGATTGATAACATGAAAGTTTATATCTTAGACAAGGAAAGAGAGGGGACTCGTAACACAGCAGGTGAAAATGAAGCAGTTTGCCACCAAAAAATGTCTGCTTTTTTCATAACATAACCTAGAAAGCATATTGTTTTTTGCCTGTTAAATGTAATCCCGTAGACTTTTTTTTTCTCTGCGGGTTTTGCAGCCATACGCTAGCAATCCACCATGCTGAATATCACAAAAATGTTAGTCTGAAGTAAAATTCACATAGTGGCACCATGAAAAATTGTCGCCATTATTTGGTGGCAAACGGTCACAACCAGCTGCTAGTGCAGGTAAAGGATGTTACGCGTCCTCTCTCTTTCCTTGTCTAAGGTTTGTATAACGCTGACGTCACAGCGACGGTGGCGTCAATAGTGGCAGCCGGAACAAATACTGAAATGGCGGGAATTTTGAAACTTGACTTGAGTTGATTGCACAAAAAACTTACTTATGTTGTTCCACATCTTTTTTTCTCAAATCCGAATGAGAAAAATGATGTGGTACTTCATAAAGTTTGGTGTCATTTTTTGATGTAGATTAAAAAAAAAAAGGAAAAATAAACACTAATGATGCCTGTATGCACCATTTTCAGGTATTTTCGTAATTAGCTAATCAGGGCTAATTATGTAATCACGGTTAAAAAAGTCGATTCGATGTACCAAAGGATTTTGCATTTGCCTGGTATGCACCATTACACAAATTCTCTGATTAAACTTTAGCCGTGATCACATAATATTTTCCGTATGCATCAAGCGTTTTTTTCGCCTAATCGGCAATTAACTTAAATCGCTCGATGGCCTGGAATTTAGGATAACCGCGGCTATAATGAAATGAGGTTAGGGTTAGAATGTTTTGTTTTGTTTTTACATTTTAAAAACATTTTTGTCCCCAAAAAATTACTGGAAAAATAGTGTGTGGCGAGGGTGAGCAGGGAGAAATCAAATAAGAAGGAATATGGAGATGGACCACCTATTATTTGACGAGGATTTGGATACTGATAAATAATGATTGTGTTAGATGGGCTTCCAACGCGTTGGAATGAGACGGAAAATTATTTTGAAGCCTTGGATGGATGATCTTATAAACCAATAGTCGTCCTGAAGAGGTGGAAGATGCCGCTAACTTAACTTATGATAGGGTGGTAGTAATATGCAATTTTATGGCTTGATTCCAGTAACTAATGACTATGTAATTACGGTAATTACTGTTTATTTCAAATAAAATGCCCAGGATGAGATGGCTCCATTTGTGCTACTGTGCATTTGTGCTAATCCGCAAATGGTCTACTCACGAACGCGATCGGCTATGGTCGGGATCAGTTAACATGATCGCGGAGGAGTACAAAGAGTAGTTGAAGGGTTTGTGTACGCGGCGGGCGCGCGGAACATCTGGTGTAATCAGCTGATGCTGATAAATAATAAAAATAAATTAAATGTTTTTGTATTTAATGAATGGTTGTGGACTTTATTTTTATTAACTACAGTAGAGCCAAGATTTTAGAAATATATACTTATTATTAAAGCGTAGAGTCTATACAGACATGTAAAATTATTTATAAATGTAAAGTTAATAATACATATACTTATCCAAAGTAGGTATCTCCCCAGATTTGAAATTGTATGAGGTTATTTATTGATTTTCCAGAATATTAGCCAATAAACCTAGCAGTCCCATTGTAGAAAAAAACGAAGGGATTGCTAGGTTTACATGAAATACCTATAGCAGTCCCCCGTAGTGAACATATTTTTTTAAATTTTTCTTTGATATCAGAATTTACATAATAGGTACCTATACTTTTTAAAATGCTCCTAAATAGTCAAAGAAAAAATTGAATCAGTTAATTATTAACTGAATTACAGATTTTTTTTCAATATTAGGAAATTCCTCGCTTCACGTTTACTTGTGTTAGAGGCTGAAGCTGAAATGTTCCTGGATAGAAATTAGGTACTATAATTTAAGTGCTCCCAAATTGTCAACGAAACACTTGAATCTGTTAATTATTAAATGATTTATAGTTTTTTTTTTCATTATTGGCAAATTATTGGCTTCACGTTTAGTTGGTGCTGTATCAGAAGCTAAAATGTTTATGAATAGGAATTAGTGCTATTTAAGTGCTTATATTTGAAGAAAAACTTGAATCAGTTAATTATTAACTGAAGTAGGTACAGATTTTTGTTTTTCATTATTAAGGAATTGCTGGCTTTAAATTTACTTGAGGATGTCTTGCATTGCAGCGAATCTGATAACTGTGACTAAAATGCTGTTGTATTGGAATTTGGTGCTATTTAAGTGCTCCTAAAAAGTTGCAGTTTTTCTTCGACCATTCAGGAGCACTTAGATAACACCTAATTTCAATACAACATTAACGATTATAGCCACTGTTATCAGATTCGCTGCAAATCTCTACACCCCCAAGTAAACGTAAGGCCAGTAGTTCAGTTCCCTAATAATGCAAAAAAAAAATCTGTAATTTAAATAATAAATAACTAATTCAAGTTTTTCTTCGACTATTTAGGAGCACCTAAGTCCTATCCAGAAACATTTTAGTTTCTGACCATCAAGTATAGGTAAACGTGAAGCCAACAATTTCCATTTTCCATTTCCTAATAATGAGAAAAAATCTCTATTAAGTGATTTTTTTGACCATTTGGAAACACTTGAATAGCAAGAATCCTAATAAGATTGCTTATCCTCATAAGGCGTACGTTCGCCAATTCTCGAGTCGGCAAGGCCTGCGAGTGACGTCGGTACTATTAGGAGCCTCTTATAGTGGTGACGTCACCCGCAGGCCTCGATGGGATGCTTGCGATTCAGGTTGTGCTTGTTTTTTCATGGATTTTAAATGTAGAAAAGGTGATTTTAACAAGTATATAACGTTTAGGAATTCGTTTTTTTAACCTATACTGTTTTAAACTCGGCTTATACATTTTTATGTCAAGAGTTGAGGCCTGCGGCTAAAATGGCACACACTTTCAGCTCAATAAGCAATAAGTGTTCTTGCTCGAATAGCATCCAAATCCAATTCAACATTCTAGCCACTGTCATCAGATTCGCTGCAAGTTCCCCACCTAAGTACACGTAAAACCAGCAGTCCCCTAGTACCTATTCCTATTCCTGGTTGTAAAAAAAATCTGACTGTTTTTTTTTCGACTATTTAGGAGCACTTGGATAGCTAATTTGCCAATTCCTATATTTCCTATCCAGAAGCTAGCTTCTGCACATGCACTGGCTTTACACTCGGTAAACTTCGAGCAGTTCAAGCGCGCTCGAAACGATAAGATCCTGTTTGTTTTAGCTCTCAGAGTGTTCTCTTTTGCGTTTTGGTTACAATCAAGCACGTACTCTGACCCTGAGCTTGCTCTCTTTTGGATGGATGGATGGACGGATGGAGGAGCACCAGAGAAATTAGTTATCGCGTTTTTTTTCCTAGATTTCTACTTTTATTTCAGGTCCATTACTAATTCACCTACTCGTTTACTACGGTTTACTAGTAAAATAAAATCAAAACGAAACAATTTTTTTTGAGTTTAGTGACTGCGCAAGGGTTTGAGGATTTGTTTCGATCTGTGTTTGGCTTAAAGTCTGTCTTTTTTAAAGATAATTCCCCAAGTCAAAAATTTAGTAACTATGTTGAAGCCTTTTCTACATATAAAAAATTTGAAAACATTGACAATTTTTCATTGTATTGCCAACATAATAGTTGTATTCCTTTCAAGAGCTTGAAACACTCGAGCTACTCGCTTCGGTGCTTAGTCGCCCCCGA